ATAGCCAAGTTGAAGAAGGCCATAAAAGAAAACTAAGGGGTCCAAGGGATGATTCTAATATGATCCAACCTTTGACAGTTATTCCTGACCAATTCAAAGACTCTCTTTTGTTGCCCTCTTCCCTCTGATTGAAATACATGCTTTGGCTTGTACATATGTGCTCACAGCCTCTGGTTGATTTGAATAACATAATTGGTTGCTCTACCTCTTAAATTTGTTTTGTATTTATAAATATCAATAGCTGAGTTGCGTTGATTTGCCTCGATTGGTGTTTAGGTTTAACCCATGGAGTTGGCCTTACTTTCTAACAAATTGCATAAGTTATCATAATGTGGTATGATCTACTGATTGCCTTGCATTCATTTCATGAGATATGTGGTGTATCACTCTTCATACTACTTATCTCATACGTTGCATCATGTATCTCTCTACATACTATGTATATCTCACATCATCCGTTATGCATTACTTTCTATGCAATCCATGCCTTGAGAAAGGCATCTGTAGACACCCCATTTTTGACTGTCCTCAAGACTTGGACGTCACCGCTTGAACACTCGGTGATCATCCATGTTTGTGTTCGTCTTGAGTTCCCGGAGGCCTCGGCTACGCGCCTTGCCTCAGGATCTCTCGACTCGACCGTTTAGTGTCTGGGTTTGTACCAAACACTCTAGTGACGTTCGGGGCAACTCTAGACACCCCATTTTTGACCGTCCTCAAGACTTGGATGTCACCGCTTGAACACTCGGTGACCATCCATGTTTGGGTTCGCCTTGAGTTCTCGGAGGTCTCGGATACGCGCCTTACCTCAGGATCTCTCGACTCGACTGTTTTGTGTCTGGTTTTGCACCAAACACTTGTGTTTTGCCTTGAAGGGGCAGGGAATGCCTTGTGAGGCATCTCCACACATCACCGGCCAAGGCTCGAGGCCACCGGCCAGTGATTTTATGCCATCGGCAATATATATATTGCCGGTCGGCATTCTTTGTTGCCGATTGGCCATTTATTTTGTCAAAATGGCAATTTTGGATGGCCGATCACTGTTCATCTACTTTTAGTAAATATTTTGTGCCAGCTGTGATAGCTGGCACCCATCTTTGCTCCTCTCCATACACGTGTATGGAGGGATTTCCCTCTTAGCAAGTTTATTTTGTAAGCATTGCAAGAGGGAGCTTCTATAAGAGGAGGGCTCTCCTCCCTCTTTTAAGGTTAGAAAACATTGTTAGAGAAGCTCTGGTTCTAGGTTTAGGGTTTTATATCTATCCTATATCTATATCTCTCCTTTTGTATTATGTGTGTTTAAGCCATAGTTTTGTACACAAACACCTACTACTACACCTTTCCCTTGCAACTGAGGTTCCAGAGGGTTGTTTTGGAAGTTTTGAAGCTAGTTTGGACCTAAGGAGACTGCTGGTCCACAATTTGTGAAGAGGGTCTATAAGGGTAAGACTTTTGTCCCTTTTTACCCTATTTTTGCATAGCTTTTTAGCCTATCTTGCATCTGTTTTTGAGCTTAGTGTATAACATAAAAAAGTTCTATTTTTAGGCCCTCTAAATAGGTGGTTAAGGTTGCTTCAAGCTTTGGGGTTGTTTGACCCCTCTTAAGCCTTGTAAGGCTCCATTTTGTGCCATTTTGGGTGAGCTCCCAGACCTTGGTGTTTGGGCCTCCTCAGCACTAAAATCTTGAGGGATTTCAGAGGTGAAGACGGTGCCTTGAGGTCCCAAGAAGGAGAGGGCCACCCCCTCTCCTTATTGTCCTTGAAAAGGATCATTTTTGCCTCTTGAGGGAGCACCTAGCTTAGGCTCATGTTGGCCATGCCTCGCCTATTTTTTATGCTTATTATGCCATGATATAGCATTGTTTTAAGTTGGTTTTGGTACACCATGCTTGCTTAGCATACATGCCTTGTAATGCCATTTTGTTGCCTTAACATGCCTTAGGTTGTAAACCATTGTTGTAGCATGCTTTAGGCTTAGCTTTGTGAAGCTTTCATGTTTATTTTGCCATGTTTAAGGTCTGTCCTTAGTTGTTTGGGTCGACTTTAGCATGCATTGCATAGCCTCTTTGCATTTTAGCATGTAGGCTTCAAGGATGTGAGTGTGTAGCATGCATCCTTGCCCCATTTCAGTGGTTTGGAACCACTTGCCATGTCATTTCAGCCCACTTAGCATGCTTGTATACTTGCATTTCATGGCTCTTTGATGTTTCAAGAGTTTGTGTTTCATGCTCCTTGAAAGTGCATTTGTGCATGCTTCCATGTGTAAGTCATTTAGATGTCATCTAAGTGGTTTTTGGGGTTCATTTTGACATGCTAAAACCCTGATTTTAGTTGCTTAAATCATGCCATGTTCGGTCTTGATAAGTGTAGTCCAATGCCTCTTTGGTGAGCCTTAGGCGTTGGGCTTGGTTGCATGATATGCTTGCTTTGTTTAGTTGGTTTGGCACCTCCTATAGCATGATTTTCAGAGCTTCATTTGCATGTTAATTGTCCATGCTATGCCTCTTTTAAAGTGCGCTTAAAAGTTGCCTTTATGTGCTTAAATGTTGGTCCATGTTGTCATGTATGCTTGCATGTGCATTTGCCCTCATTTCCTTGGTTGATGGCCACTGTTTTGGGCTTCCTTAAGGGCTGCCCAAACGAGCTTAAGTCCATCCTTTGCTTGTTTGCATGCTTACCTTGCATGTTTGCTTGCATACTTGCAAAAATGCATTGTATGCCCATGTTGCATGCTAGTTCACATGCCTATGTTGCACTCCATCTAGCGTGCATGCCTTGTTCCTTGATTTAGTGATGGGAGTTGGGCCTTGTTTGTTGGTTTGCATTGCATTTGAAATCAATATGCATAACTTGGTCTCTTGGGCCATCACGCATTGAAATGCGCGATTGATGGTCCGAGAACCAAGGACCATGTCCCTTTGAGTCATAAACATGATAAGGGATATGGTTGGTGCATACATTGCTTGAATTATATTGCCGTGCAAAGCTCTGTCCTCTACTACTGTCAAACAGATTCTGCAGGAACTTTTTGCCGATCGACTGCACAGAGTGCTGACCGGCAATCCATCGGTGGCCGATGGATTCGTTTTTGCCCGATCGACACCAAATCACAGCCGATGATGATTCCCTCCAGCCGGTGGCATTCCCCAACATCCAGTGAGCACATCCTAAGACTTCGGCAGTCTTCAGAGGAGTATAGCAGGGAAAACAAAGGCAGTTTGTGCATGGCGGTGGACTTCCGAGCAAGACCGAGCATGCATTGCATTGGGCTCTTCTCCCGAGGACATTTATCGCTTTCTTAGATTAGTTGATTTGCTTAACTAATTTAGTTGGTCTGTAATATTTAATTAGCTAGTCAGTTAGTTAAATTGTATTATTCTTTCGGTCCCTCCGAGGGAGGGCAAATTTGTAATAAGTGTGGGTGCGTATGTGCATGTCTTCCAACCCCCACTTCTTTCTCCCTTTTATTTACCTGCTTTTGATGGTTAGTATTAGGATATGTTTACTTTAGCATACCTTATGCTATGCATGCGTGCATCATCCATTAGTCTTGCATGCACCGGGCTCGGCGCATCATGCTAACTGCATAAGTATTTCAAAATCTAACTAGAATACATGCTACTTGTGCATTTTCACATATCATTCATAGACTAGCCGAGCCTACTCTAGTGACATTCCGTATGCGTTGCATTAGGCATGTAAACATGGACTTGGATCATGCATTGATTGCTAACGAGTTCTTTGTTTGGCTTGGAGTACTTGGTAAGCATTTATGCTTTAGTATACCGCATGCGTGTGAGTGTGGCCATAACAACATGATTACCATGAGGCTAGCTTCTTATGTGATATAACTGCTCGAATGCCTGTGGATGGAGGTTGAATTACCTAAATTGGAATAATGCATTAAAACTGTGAGTTTTAAGCCCACTAGATAGTGGCAAAACCATCTTTTCTAAAAGTCCACTCGAGGGTGGCAAAACCTACATTTTAGCCTACTTGCGAGTAGCAAACCATTTTCAAAACAAGCATGAAATGTTTTGTTCCAATTTAGGCGATTTGGTCTATACTTGTTTGCTGTGTGCACAACATAGTAATTCTAGGATAATAACCAGAATAAGAACACATAACGTTTTCAAAAACGGATATCACGGTTAGTAGAGGCCGATCTTCGGATCGGGCTGACCTCTTTTGGGCCCTACCTTGCATGGCATTTTGAGCATACCTGTATATTGTTTTGGGGGTTGCCATAAACTGTAAGTAGTAATATTTTTGGTCCCTCTTCAGGGTTGTAGAAGAGTCCTTTTCTGTTTGGGCTTTGCATCTACCACTTGCTTCATTGCCTCCCTTGCGGAGCCATTTTTGTATGATAATTTAGTCCCACTTGTGCTTACTGTTTGGCCATGCTTTGAACTGTAAAAATGCTTATTTTGGGGCTGTCTTGCTTCTGTATTTTCATTCCCAAAAACCAGTATCATAATAAGAATCATCAAAAGATTATAGTGAATAATACTTTTCAAGAAAGAATAACTGCATGGTTAATTACAAAAACCAGATTAGACATATAGAGCACTAGTACAATTAGTAATGAGGAAATCTCCAAAGTCATCCTTAGGGCTGTGTTTGGAGCATGAATTTGGGTAGGGGTTTGGAAAGGGAAAGGGAAAAAGAAAAGGAAAAGGAAAAGGTAGGTAAAATGTGAATGAAATATAACTACATTTTAGTAATTTCACACGTCTTTTCCCTTTTGCTTTCAATTCATGCTCCAAACACAGCCTAAATTTGTTGAGCACCTTTAATACTTCATGATTTGAAATATGATTGGGATGTTGGGTTTTTGAGTATATCTCATGTTTCTTCTCTCTAGGGTTTGTGTTTTTCTCTTAGGTCTGTGCAATTGTGCTTTATTTGTGTTGATCGGATATTCAGTAAGTTGGGAACTTGGTGTATAGTGTAGATCTGGGCTGAAATACTCTGATCTGTATTATTATCGTGTATGTATGACAGGAAGCAATAGTTTTGCCTCCATGGGTTGCTCTTGCTATTCGGTTGAGGCCCGGTGTCTGGGAATACATCCGAGTGAATATTAATGCCCTTGTTGTTGAGGAGTTGAGCGTCCCGGAGTATCTTCATTTCAAAGAAGAACTTGTTGAAGGACCTCGCAATGGCAACTTTGTTCTTGAGTTGGATTTCCTCAACAGGCACCTCTCTGCAAAAATGTTCCATGACAAGGAAAGCATGCACCCACTCCTTGAATTTCTCAAAGCCCACAACTACAATGGCAGGGTAATCCTTTTCTTCATTCTCCATTTTCCACAAACATCTATTGTTGTTTGGTTTTTCAAATCACAATTTACTTTGTTTTCAATAAAATTTCTAGTATTGTAATACTTGGGATTTTTGTTGTTGTTGTTGTTGTTGTTGTTGTGCAGACAATGATGCTCAATGATAGGATCCAAAACCTCAATGCTCTCCAATTTGTTCTGAGGAAGGCAGAGGAGTATCTCCTCACATTTCCTTCGGACACAACATATTCTGAATTTGAACACAAGTTTCAAGAGCTTGGTTTGGAGAGAGGGTGGGGTGATACCGCCGGGAGAGTGTTGGAAATGATTCATTTGTTGTTGGACCTTCTCGAGGCTCCTGATCCGTGCACTCTTGAGACATTTCTCGGCAGAATCCCTATGGTTTTCAATGTGGTCATCCTTTCCCCCCATGGCTACTTTGCTCAAGAAAATGTTTTGGGCTATCCTGACACCGGTGGCCAGGTCTGATTCTAAGAAAAAAAAGAAAAAGATCTCTCTTGTTTTAAATAATTGTATCGGGTATCAGAAGTTCAAAATTCCAATACCTTTAAAAGTTCTTTATATTCGCTTGCCAGTAAATGTTAATTTTTGTCAATTTTTTTTTTTCTTATAGGTGGTTTACATTTTAGATCAAGTTCCTGCCATGGAGAAGGAAATGCTTTTACGTATAAAGCAGCAAGGGCTTGACATCATTCCTCGTATTCTCATTGTTAGTGTGATGCTTAAATTTCGAACTTTCTCATTTTGGTTTTTGTTTCTCCTCTTAATTCCTGATCTTGCTAAGTTGCTATTGTATCCAGGTGACTCGGCTTCTCCCCGATGCAGTAGGTACTACCTGCAATCAACGCCTTGAGAAAGTTTATGGAGCTGAGCATTCGCATATTCTTCGTGTCCCCTTTAGAACCGAGAAGGGTATCGTCCGTAAATGGATCTCACGCTTTGAAGTGTGGCCATACATGGAGACTTTCACTGAGGTGAAACATGTTTCTTTTCATTCTACTCTCTTTTCCAAATTATTTTCTATTATCGATTGCTTATTCAAGTTGTTTCTAATCTTTTGCTTGTAATATGATTAGGACGTTGCACATGAAATCGCCTTAGAATTGCAGGCAAAGCCAGATCTGGTGATCGGCAACTACAGTGAGGGTAACCTTGTTGCCTCATTGTTAGCTCACAAATTGGGTGTAACCCAGGTGATTTGTTGATGTTCACTTATTTTATTTCAATCAGGAGTTGATCTACATTTCTTAACTTCATTCAACAACCAATGGGACTAATTTTTTGATTTTGCTTCTTATGCAGTGTACCATTGCTCACGCTCTGGAAAAAACAAAATATCCCGATTCTGACATTTATTGGAAGAAATTTGATGAGAAGTATCACTTCTCTTCCCAGTTCACAGCTGATCTTATTGCTATGAATCATACTGATTTCATAATCACTAGCACATTCCAGGAAATCGCTGGAAGGTATTGTTTTCTGTTGTTTGTTATATATGATTTCTTGTCAGATTGCTCCTCTCTGTTATCCTAATATCTTTTTTACAACTTTGGTATTTTCAGTAAGAACACAGTAGGTCAGTATGAGAGTCATACCGCGTTCACCATGCCCGGTTTGTACAGAGTTGTTCATGGTATTGATGTGTTTGATCCCAAATTCAACATTGTGTCGCCCGGGGCTGATATGTCGATTTACTTCCCTCACACGGAGAAGGAAAAGAGACTGACTAAGTTCCACCCTGAAATCGAAGAGCTTCTCTTTAGTGAAGTGGAGAACGAAGAGCATTTGTAAGTCTCAAATCTCTTTTAATTAGTACTTCATTGCTCTGTTTGGTTTTGTTTCATAATCTGTTTTGTAAAAAACACTAAAAATATGCATGGGGTGTCTTAACAGAGGCATGTTGAAGGACAAGAAAAAGCCCATCATATTCTCTATGGCAAGGTTGGATCGTGTCAAGAACTTGACAGGGCTTGTCGAGTTGTATGGTAAGAATGCTCGGCTTAGAGAGTTGGCCAACCTTGTGGTTGTTGGTGGAGATCGTAGGAAGGAATCCAAGGATTTGGAAGAGCAAGCCGAGATGAAGAAGATGTATGAAATGATCGAAACCTACAAGTTGCAGGGTCAATTTAGGTGGATTTCATCACAGATGAACAGGGTGAGGAACGGTGAGCTCTACCGGTGCATTGCTGACACCAAAGGCGTGTTTGTTCAACCTGCGTTCTATGAGGCTTTTGGTTTGACTGTTGTCGAGGCCATGACTTGTGGTTTGCCAACGTTTGCAACTAGCTATGGGGGTCCTGCTGAGATAATTATTCATGGCAAGTCCGGATTCCACATTGATCCATATCATGGCGATCAAGTAGCTGAGTTGCTTGTCAATTTCTATGAGAGGTGTAG